TATATATATATATATATATATATATATATATATATATATATCTCAATCATAATGGAGCCGATGTTGACAGCGATGTCAACTAATTCCAAAAGTAAGCCACATCAGTAAACATTGAAAACCTTAATTTGCTTGCACTCTTGTGGTTGTCCTCACTTATCATTCTCTTTTGTTTTTTGTCTTATTACATATCGGGCTGCAGTAGTGTGAATGGGACGGTGTCCTCTTGTAAATTTTTTGTATACTTTTTTATTTCTGAAGACTTTTATTTAGTATTTTTCTAGGCAATTTGTAAAAAAAGATGCAAGCAAAAATAAAATGTGTTTGGTGTACAATCACTCTCAAAGTTTTTCATACTATCTCCTGTATGAGCTACTGTACTGTCCATGGGTCATAGTAAGTATGCAAAGCGTAGAGGCTAGGGGTGTGAAATTTGGCATGCTCAAACTACATATGTGAACAAATGTGCAATGTCTCATGAGCCTAAACCTTACAGAACAGGTTTGGTGGACCTGTGACTTTAAGTTTTTAATGCACATGGAGGGGAAAGGGGGCAAGGTAACTGAGGGGGTCTCGTGGCTGACCCCTGCAAGCACCGTGAAGTAGCTCCCCTGAAGGCTTCACAACCAAACTCCTGCTATAACTCTATGTAAAGTACTCTTACCATTTGTAACAGTATTTTAATTCTGAAAGTCACTGATTAACAATGTGCTTTGTTGTTTAACCCCATGTTTTAATTAGAAAATATTGCTGACACCAGCTCACCTGCTGCATCTGTGGTTGACATAACAATTGATGAGGAGGGGGAGGAAGTTAGTTTCGGCAGTTAATTACTTTGAGAATTGAAGCATCATGGTGATTTTAGTGTGCCCACAAATGCATATACATGTGTCAAACTAAAAAAACATCCTGTCACAGATGCCTAGAAATCTTCCCAAAGCTGTGCCACATTCTAAGGTAATGCTGATGAATTTTATTTACCACAGAGATGTAAAATTTCCCAGACATATTTCAGAAGTTAAAGTTTTGTGACGAAACTAATGTGACATTCTTTCACATATGTCAGAAATTGCTGCTGTGGCGGAAAATGACATACCCAACATCCTTGAAGGACATGATGAGAGCACAGTTTAAGTCATATTTCAGATGTCCAATAAAGACCGAAGTCGTTAGCATGCCGTCGAGCTATGCTAGTATATCTTGGAAATTGGAAACATGGTAATGGTGCATGGGTGGGCTCTTATTGTTCTAACAAGTGTTTGTTTATACGGCACGAGAAGCTTTTCAAAAGTGGCATCAGAAAGGCAGTTTCTCTTTGGTCTGAAAATATCCTTTCCTACGCTAAACAGTCTTTCACAAGCTGCACTTGCTGGGACCCCTGTGTTGTATCTATACTTTTTAATGACTAAGGTGGATGCATCATCAAATTGATAAAGCTGGATTCATTTTCAATACTTTTAAGTGTTTTTTATTTATTAATTAGTTAATACCGAGGACAGAATTTGGGCAAAGTTTATAAGTAAATAAATACTGTAACGCAGCGGTACCGGCGGGCAGCGCGGCATGTTGAACTGATGCCAGCTTGTAAATAGTTCTCAGTAATCACTGTGTGATTATAAATTTGCTGTGTGTTATGTCATGTATAATCGTTAATGTTTATTGTATGTAGTGTCCGTGTATGTGTGCGTCCGCCCACTGTGTGTGTGAGGAGTAAATGGGGCGATGTGCACGGTGGGCCGTGCGAGTGTGTGGGTTGTGTTGGAGTACGCCGTCTCCACCGGGTCAAGAGATTCACAGCTGACACGTGGAGAAGTTGCAGGTCACCGGTTTATTCTCTGACAGATTGCAATCCGGGAGCGGCCATCTGACATACCTTCAGCATGTACAGGAGGAAGCTCTGCCATATGTATCAGCTGTATCCCTAATAAAGCCCTTTAGCATCTCCCCCCCTCTCTCGGTACCTTCCGTCTACGTGACAACCACATGTTTGACATTTACTCTAGTTAGTCGGTTAGTACTTGTCCTTGTGGAAGGCTACAGATACGTAAGGGCCGCTGACGTTTTTCTGTCTGCTCCCTCTATCGGTCCCGATTAGGTAACCTTGCCCTGCCGGCGCCAGTCAGTTCTCGTTTCAGTTAACTGCATTTTTTAGAATGAATCCCCCCTTTCATCATGCCCTGCTTTAAGCTATATTCTCCTTTTCCTCTATTCATTGTATGTTCTTTATAATTCTATTGAATCACACAATTCCCCCTTTTGATCTCCGCAAGGAGATCACCCTGACTATTAATATTTTGCCTTATTTATAAAATTTTGCATTCCCCCTTTTGATCTCCACAAGAAGATCACCCTTTTGGTGGGGGAGGTGTAGTTCATAGCTGTCCAGAGGACCTTTGCCCCTCTCCGGCAGGAGAGGCATCATCTGCACATAGGTGCCATCCCGCGTCTCTATCACGGTAGTGATGAGACAAACTGACAGTGCGCGCAGGCAGGGAATACAACAACACCCGCAAGTAACTAAAATTGCAGCAAAAGTAGCAATGGATAATAAAAGCGAGCCCATTAAGCCTTTCCACTGTCCGAACGCCGAGGTCAGCCAAGCATCCCAAATGTTATTGATCCCAGAGTGTGCATGCATCATTTTGGAGAGGGTCCGGAGACCCTCGAGTGCCCTGGTCACTGAGCCGTCTGGTGCTGTGTTGTTGGGAATGTAAGTACAGCATTCTTCCCCAAACATAGCGCACACTCCCCCCTTTAGGACTCCAAAGAGTTCCACACACAATCTGTCCATCCAGCCTAGGAAGGAGGGCAAAAACCCTGAGCTTCAGGGAAATTCCACTCCCAGCCTGCCACTGGCGCGGCCCCCCTGTCGTGGTATATACTGATTGATCAGAAACTTTATCACGGATACCCCATCCTCCTTCTTTGTGGGCCATGCTTCCGGCCACCCTGAGAATGCGTCCACACACATCAACACATATCTGAACCCACTCACTGGAATCACCATGTCTGTATAATCTATAATGATTTCTTCTGCCAAGATTCTGCTTATAGACACCATGCAGTGTTAATTTAACACTGGCACATTTGCTGTGTATCCATATTCATATCATATCCAACTCTTACTGTATGTCATTTAGCACTGTGCACTTTATCAAGCGATTCTTATATTTCTTCATAATTTTTAAATTTATTCTATTTTTGTATCTTTTTCGAAGGGTGAGCAAGCAAAGAAAACATTTCATTACATGGTTCTACACAGCAAATGTGCCAGTGTTGAATTAACACTGCATGGTGTCTATATGTGTCCACACCATTCAGTGTTACCTTTAACACTTTTCAGTGTGCAATGAGTGTTGTTTTTACAATGTTAATAATTATTAACTCTTATAGTGTTCAATTTACAACCTATAGTGTTGTCAAAGAGTCTCCACCTCCACATGTCTGCTCCATTTTAATATGCGCACAAGACATCATGAGGATCAGAAGAGCCATCCGAGATTTACCCACCCATCATTCATTCAACTCTGACCAAACAGGACCTTACAACTTTTTCTTGTTTTAAATTAAAGTTTTGCTGGTTCAGTTCTGACTGATTTTGAAGTTTAGAGAGCTATGGTCTCATAGCATATTGCTGTTAAGTCAGAGGAAAAACTTTTGGCGATGTGCAGGATGTGTCTCCAGATTGATCTATATAAATATATATATGTTAATGCTGTTGGGATATGTTTGATTTCCAGTCCTGCCCTTGGATGATTAACATATGTGGAAAGGTGTTAGGACAGTTGCCATACCCTTTTCTGTGCAGCTCCTGGTACCACCCCCTCCCCTGTAGACCAATGGTGGTGTATGTATATTTGCATAGCATGACACAGTACTGTTTTTCACTTAATAGATTTTTTTTTAATCCACCGCGATTGTGATGAATAGGGCAAGAGAACAAAAACCACAGAAATGGTTCTACCATGCCAACCAGGCTTGATGGTTTAGTCTCTGTGTTTTATCTCCAGAAGGCATTGTCTGGGAGGGAAATTCTATGGAAAACCAATTATTTTGTTTCTTTTCTAAGCTTGGGCACTCTCGGAAGATTATTTGGATTTTATGCATATCTACATTTGAGATTTTTTCAGGGATGCACATATATAATAACTACTACACTGCTCAGATCAATTAGCATACACCAACCCAGAAAAACAAATAATGCAATGTTGTAAAGACTAATATCAGTGCCATACCATTCTCGATCATGGTGAGTTTCTAAAAATTAAGCTTAATGAAATCTTAATATTAAATGAGCAAAGTGATTTTATTTGTTCTATCGCAAATTGTGGTCTAAAAGCAATGAGGCCACCACCCATTATATCTGCTTTAGCGGAAACACACTCCTTCAGTCATTAAGATAACTCTCACCCTTTTTCAGCCCTGTCAAATAACTATGACATGTAGAGTAACACAGTCTAGCTTCATAATCTCTGTTTGGTGACTGGGGCCATACATTTCACATACTTTTATACCACAGGGGGTTCTTAGAATAGTTCTTTGGTTAATAAGAGCTAAACTAAAATTAAATTTGCATAAAAAGAGAAAAGGCTATGTGAGTCTTTCTTATTATGGTGGGTTAGTAAAACACAGCAGCTGAATGCCCAAATGAGTACAAATGAGAGTACATTAAAATATGGCAGATATGGGCCACCCATATGGGCTTGCAATTTGGGAAGAGGTGGAGACACATTGTCTTAACACTCTAGGTTGTAACTTGAACACTTGTGGGGGAGGACGGAGGAAAGCACAGTAGCTTACCACTCCTACCCGTGCACTTCTAGGACTCAGGTAATAACGAGACAACACGCTTCTCTCTTTTACTTGC